GTGGCCGGTGTCTCTCCGTGTTTTCTTGGATGCGCGAGGGGCACTCCGCCATCCAATGACCAATCTTTCCGCAATTGTGGCACGGCCAGGACTTCTTCACTGGTCGCCCTTTGCGCTGATTGTCCCTTGTGATGAACGCTTGACCTTGCGAAGCTTCATCACCTTTACTTCCTTGCTCCTTCCGCTTCATTTCTTCATGAAGCAGTCGAGACGTCACGAGCTCCCAGCTAAGAGTGTCTGAGCGCGACTCCAAAGCTGTGATCAAGAATTGATACGAGTCACTCAGGCTGCCGAGGAGTGTGATCACCAGATCGTCCTCGCAGACTGGAGCCCCCACCGCTTCTAGCTGTTCCGCCAGCGTCTTGAGCTTGTTGATGTGTTCGAGCAAATCGTCGCCTGATGAACTTTAGACTTCTTGGTCCGAGTGCAAAACGCAAAGTGAATATATATTTATAATAGGTACTTAGTTCGCAACTTTGAATACTACCTCTAAGCCTATTATTCGCAGTGACGTCATCCAGTGACGTCACCCACTGACGTCATGCAATGACGTCATCCAGTGACGTCATTTCCTGACTTCGCCCTTACTGGTACATACCGGTACCCACCGGTATAGCGAAGCTTGGTCTTCCACTTGCTTCAACACTTGACGCAGCTTGACGAGGTGTCTTCTTCACAGCCGCTGTCTTTTCAACACTCCCTCTCGACTCGTTAGCTGCGGCACCTTGGATCCCAAGTCGATCGCGAATGTTTTCAAATTGTACAGCGGCGATCGGCTTGGTCATCATGTCTGCCAGCATATCTTGAGTCGGGCAATACTCCAAAACGACTTCACCTGATTCCACCTTCTCACGCACAAAATGGTAGCGTATGTCGATGTGTTTTGTTCTCTTATGGAACTCCGGGTTCTTGGCGAGAGCGATTGATCCTTGGTTGTCTTCATACATCTTGATCGCTTCGTCGCTTGTCATCTCACCAAGTTCCCCCAAAAGCACTTTGAGCCATACTGCTTCTTTGGTTGCTTCGGAAAGCGCCATGTATTCTGCTTCTGTTGAAGATAGCGCGACCGTCCGTTGTTTCTGGCTTTTCCAGCTGATGCATCCTCCGCTCATCATGAACACATAGCCGCTTGTACTTCGTCTTGACTCAATGTCGCCGGCCCAGTCTGCGTCGGTGTACCCGCAGATACGGCTTCCTTCTTCACGTGTAAACTCAAGACCATGATTGGGCGTTGCTTGCAGGTATCTCAGCACACGCTTCAAAGCTTGCCAGTGAGTCGGGCATGGGTCGGACGAGAACTGGGATAATGATCCCACTGCAGCAGCTAGATCCGGACGTGTGGCGACCATGAGATACATGATGCCTCCGACAGCACTTCGATATGGCACGTTGCACATGGTGTCTTCGTGCTTGCATTCTTGTTCACACATGTTCTTGGTTAGCTTCAGGCCGGGATCTTGAGGCGTCTTCACTGGCTTGCTGTTATCCATTCCGAACTTGGTTAACACGGACTTGAGAAACTTGGTTTGTTGTACAGTCACCATTCCCGTCTTACGGTCGTTCTTGATCTCCATGCCGAGAAAGTAATCGAGCTCACCGAGATCCGTCATTTCGAAGCGTTTGCTCAGCGCCATCTTGGTTGACTTGAGGAGTTCGTTGTTGCTGCTGGCCAGGATGAGATCATCGACGTAGAGCACCACGAGAATCATGTCTTGGTCGTCTCGCTTGATGTAGATGCAGTGGTCCGATTCGCACTTCTTGAATCCCATCTTGATCATGAACCCATCGATTGTTTGGTTCCACATGCGAGGCGATTGCTTCAAGCCGTAGAGTGATCTCTTTAGCTTGCACACATAGTCCGGCTGTGTTGCATCCAGGTATCCGTCCGGCTGGTCCATGTAGATGTCTTCGTTGAGGGAGCCGTTAAGAAACGCTGTCTTGACGTCCATCTGATGTAGCATTAGGCCGTACTTAGCCGCCATACTGAGCACCACACGAATCGATGTGAACTTGGCCACCGGTGCGAAAGTTTCTTCATAGTCAACTCCGAATTTCTGTGAGAATCCTTTGGCCACAAGTCTTGCCTTGAAACGTTCAACTTCGCCATCTTGATTCTCCTTTACACGAAAAACCCATCGGCACCCGATGGCCTTGCGACCTTTCGGAAGAGGCACGATTTCCCACGTGTCGTTTCTCTGAAGCGAATCGAACTCCGAGTCACACGCTTCTTTCCACTTGCCGGAGTCGCTTGATTCCATCGCCGACTTGAATGTAGTCGGCGTTTCCCCCACTGAATCAACGATGTAGGCTGCTTCAAAATCCATTGCAGCCGCTGACACATGCTCAAGCGACGGACCTCTGTATGTTCTTCGCTTGGGACTTGGAATGACGGTAGCTTTCTCAAGTGATTGAGTGCGCGTGTGTCTCTTGATGTTGCTCTTCGAAGACCTGGTGTCTTCGTTGTCATCGTCGCTCGAGTCCATGTCGTCGTCAGTTTTACCCTCTTCTTTTTCTTCGTCCTCATCATGATCATCAAACTCAACGACACTTGACTCATCGTTGTAGTTGCGCGGACCTTCATCAAACTTGTCTTCCATGAATGTGGCATCGCGACTGATCTTGATCGCTCCTGTTGACACTTCCTCAAATCGATATGACTTCTGGTGTTCGGCGTATCCCAGGAAACGACAGAGTGATGACTTGGAGTCGAACTTCGCGCGTTTGTCTTGAGGCACTTGAACATACGCGTGGCATCCAAACACTTTAAGGTTGGCCAGAATCGGTTTCTTCATCGTCCACACTTGATATGGAGACTTGTCTTGGTGAATGGCACGTGTTGGACAGCGGTTTCGAAGAAACATCGCCGTCATCACTGCTTCACCCCAGTAGCTCTTTCCCAGTCTAGCGTGTTCCATCATGCAACGCGCACACTCGACCAGCGTGCGATTCATTCTCTCAGCTACTCCGTTTAGCTGAGGAGTATATGGGGGTGTGAACCTTTGTTGTATTCCCCGTTCCGCGCAGAATCGTGCCAGCTTGTCGGACTTGTATTCACCCCCATTGTCGCTTTGAAGGTACTTCACGCGCTTTCCGGTTTGCGTTTCGGCCATCGCAGCGTATTCCATGAACTTCGCCGCAACTTCAGATTTGCTCTTGAGCAGATAGACGACACAGTATCTTGACTTGTCATCAATGAATGTCACGAAGTACCGTTTTCCACTGAAAGTTGCCATCGACATCGGTCCGCATACGTCGCTGTGAATCACTTCGAGGAGTTTGGAGGTGCGAGCTGTAGTGTTTGATTGGAAGCGCACTCGAGTCTGTTTTCCCAGAGCACAACCTTCACACACGTCCCACTTCTTCACCGAAGATATGTCGATGCCAATTCCAATGTTCTTCGTCACGATGCAATTGAGTCCATCGTGACCTATGTGGCCAAGCCGAAGGTGCCAGAGGTACGACTTGGTGCCCCCTTGACATCCCGACGACTTGGCTGCATTTGCTTGTTCCGGCGCCACTGGAGTCATTTGCAGCTTGAACAGTCCTTTACCTTCACGGGCACCAATTTTCCACTTGGTCCCTTTCGCTTCTCCATAGCACCCATCCTTCGTGAACGTCACTGGGCCGACATCCTTGGTGAAGCGGCCGACCGAGAACAGGTTTCTGGATAACTTTGGGATGTGCCACACGTTTGTGAGCACACCTTTCTTCATCCCTTGGGGTGTCTTCATCGACATGACAATGTCCCCACTGCCGATTGCTTGGACGATTCCGTCATCCGCGAGATGGACATCCACAGCGTCAAACCCCTTGTAGTTCCGCATGAACTTCTTGGAGCACGTCATGTGCTGCGTCGCCCCGGAGTCGACCAGCCAGATGTCGCTCGATTTCGCAGATGTCGTTTCACCGATCGAAAAGAGGTAGTCGCCCGAGTCTTCTTCTTGAGCGACGTTTGCACGTTGTGATCGATAGCGGTCGCCGCTGTCTTGAGCACGCTGTGGCCGGTGTCTCTCCGTGTTTTCTTGGATGCGCGAGGGGCACTCCGCCATCCAGTGACCAATCTTTCCGCAATTGTGGCACGGCCAGGACTTCTTCACTGGTCGCCCTTTGCGCTGATTGTCCCTTGTGATGAACGCTTGACCTTGCGAAGCTTCATCACCTTTACTTCCTTGCTCCTTCCGCTTCATTTCTTCACGAAGCAGTCGAGACGTCACGAGCTCCCAGCTAAGAGTGTCTGAGCGCGACTCCAAAGCTGTGATCAAGAATTGATACGAGTCACTCAGGCTGCCGAGGAGTGTGATCACCAGATCGTCCTCGCAGACTGGAGCCCCCACCGCTTCTAGCTGTTCCGCCAGCGTCTTGAGCTTGTTGATGTGTTCGAGCACATCGTCGCCTTCTTCCATCATTGTCGTGAAGAAGCGACGGCGCAAGAACAGCTTGTTGGCAAGACTCTTCTTCTCGAAGTGGTCTTCCAACCTTGACCATGCGTCGCATGCACCACTTGCCGACCGGACCAACGGTAGCTGGGAATCTTCCATGGCTAGACAGATCACTGCCATCGCCTTTCTTGACTTCCTCTTGTACGTCGCTTGGTCCAACTGAGTCTCGCACTGTTCCGCCTTGATCTCACCGCTGACGACCTCCCATAGGTCCCGTTCCTCCAGCACCATCTGCATCTTGAACTTCCAGGCGTGGAAGTTAGTTCCATCGAACTTGGAGATGCGGAGGGAGGAGGCGTCCATGGCAGCTAAGCTTGAATTGTTGGCGGTTTCAGAGTCTGACGAACTTGGGCTCATAACCTGATGAACTTTAGACTTCTTGGTCCGAGTGCAAAACGCAAAGTGAATATATATTTATAATAGGTACTTAGTTCGCAACTTTGAATACTACCTCTAAGCCTATTATTCGCAGTGACGTCATCCAGTGACGTCACCCACTGACGTCACCCACTGACGTCATGCAATGACGTCATCCAGTGACGTCATTTCCTGACTTCGCCCTTACTGGTACATACCGGTACCCACCGGTATAGCGAAGCTTGGTCTTCCACTTGCTTCAACACTTGACGCAGCTTGACGAGGTGTCTTCTTCACAGCCGCTGTCTTTTCAACATCGCCTTCTTCCATCATTGTCGTGAAGAAGCGACGGCGCAAGAACAGCTTGTTGGCAAGACTCTTCTTCTCGAAGTGGTCTTCCAACCTTGACCATGCGTCGCATGCACCACTTGCCGACCGGACCAACGGTAGCTGGGAATCTTCCATGGCTAGACAGATCACTGCCATCGCCTTTCTTGACTTCCTCTTGTACGTCGCTTGGTCCAACTGAGTCTCGCACTGTTCCGCCTTGATCTCACCGCTGACGACCTCCCATAGGTCCCGTTCCTCCAGCACCATCTGCATCTTGAACTTCCAGGCGTGGAAGTTAGTTCCATCGAACTTGGAGATGCGGAGGGGAGGAGGCGTCCATGGCAGCTAAGCTTGAATTGTTGGCGGTTTCAGAGTCTGACGAACTTGGGCTCATAACCTGATGAACTTTAGACTTCTTGGTCCGAGTGCAAAACGCAAAGTGAATATATATTTATAATAGGTACTTAGTTCGCAACTTTGAATACTACCTCTAAGCCTATTATTCGCAGTGACGTCATCCAGTGACATCACCCACTGACGTCACCCACTGACGTCATGCAATGACGTCATCCAGTGACGTCATTTCCTGACTTCGCCCTTACTGGTACATACCGGTACCCACCGGTATAGCGAAGCTTGGTCTTCCACTTGCTTCAACACTTGACGCAGCTTGACGAGGTGTCTTCTTCACAGCCGCTGTCTTTTCAACAATCTGTCTAGCCATGGAAGATTCCCAGCTACCGTTGGTCCGGTCGGCAAGTGGTGCATGCGACGCATGGTCAAGGTTGGAAGACCACTTCGAGAAGAAGAGTCTTGCCAACAAGCTGTTCTTGCGCCGTCGCTTCTTCACGACAATGATGGAAGAAGGCGACGATGTGCTCGAACACATCAACAAGCTCAAGACGCTGGCGGAACAGCTAGAAGCGGTGGGGGCTCCAGTCTGCGAGGACGATCTGGTGATCACACTCCTCGGCAGCCTGAGTGACTCGTATCAATTCTTGATCACAGCTTTGGAGTCGCGCTCAGACACTCTTAGCTGGGAGCTCGTGACGTCTCGACTGCTTCATGAAGAAATGAAGCGGAAGGAGCAAGGAAGTAAAGGTGATGAAGCTTCGCAAGGTCAAGCGTTCATCACAAGGGACAATCAGCGCAAAGGGCGACCAGTGAAGAAGTCCTGGCCGTGCCACAATTGCGGAAAGATTGGTCACTGGATGGCGGAGTGCCCCTCGCGCATCCAAGAAAACACGGAGAGACACCGGCCACAGCGTGCTCAAGACAGCGGCGACCGCTATCGATCACAACGTGCAAACGTCGCTCAAGAAGAAGACTCGGGCGACTACCTCTTTTCGATCGGTGAAACGACATCTGCGAAATCGAGCGACATCTGGCTGGTCGACTCCGGGGCGACGCAGCACATGACGTGCTCCAAGAAGTTCATGCGGAACTACAAGGGGTTTGACGCTGTGGATGTCCATCTCGCGGATGACGGAATCGTCCAAGCAATCGGCAGTGGGGACATTGTCATGTCGATGAAGACACCCCAAGGGATGAAGAAAGGTGTGCTCACAAACGTGTGGCACATCCCAAAGTTATCCAGAAACCTGTTCTCGGTCGGCCGCTTCACCAAGGATGTCGGCCCAGTGACGTTCACGAAGGATGGGTGCTATGGAGAAGCGAAAGGGACCAAGTGGAAAATTGGTGCCCGTGAAGGTAAAGGACTGTTCAAGCTGCAAATGACTCCAGTGGCGCCGGAACAAGCAAATGCAGCCAAGTCGTCGGGATGTCAAGGGGGCACCAAGTCGTACCTCTGGCACCTTCGGCTTGGCCACATAGGTCACGATGGACTCAATTGCATCGTGACGAAGAACATTGGAATTGGCATCGACATATCTTCGGTGAAGAAGTGGGACGTGTGTGAAGGTTGTGCTCTGGGAAAACAGACTCGAGTGCGCTTCCAATCAAACACTACAGCTCGCACCTCCAAACTCCTCGAAGTGATTCACAGCGACGTATGCGGACCGATGTCGATGGCAACTTTCAGTGGAAAACGGTACTTCGTGACATTCATTGATGACAAGTCAAGATACTGTGTCGTCTATCTGCTCAAGAGCAAATCTGAAGTTGCGGCGAAGTTCATGGAATACGCTGCGATGGCCGAAACGCAAACCGGAAAGCGCGTGAAGTACCTTCAAAGCGACAATGGGGGTGAATACAAGTCCGACAAGCTGGCACGATTCTGCGCGGAACGGGGAATACAACAAAGGTTCACACCCCCATATACTCCTCAGCTAAACGGAGTAGCTGAGAGAATGAATCGCACGCTGGTCGAGTGTGCGCGTTGCATGATGGAACACGCTAGACTGGGAAAGAGCTACTGGGGTGAAGCAGTGATGACGGCGATGTTTCTTCGAAACCGCTGTCCAACACGTGCCATTCACCAAGACAAGTCTCCATATCAAGTGTGGACGATGAAGAAACCGATTCTGGCCAACCTTAAAGTGTTTGGATGCCACGCGTATGTTCAAGTGCCTCAAGACAAACGCGCGAAGTTCGACTCCAAGTCATCACTCTGTCGTTTCCTGGGATACGCCGAACACCAGAAGTCATATCGATTTGAGGAAGTGTCAACAGGAGCGATCAAGATCAGTCGCGATGCCACATTCATGGAAGACAAGTTTGATGAAGGTCCGCGCAACTACAACGATGAGTCAAGTGTCGTTGAGTTTGATGATCATGATGAGGACGAAGAAAAAGAAGAAGGTAAAACTGACGACGACATGGACTCGAGCGACGATGACAACGAAGACACCAGGTCTTCGAAGAGCAACATCAAGAGACACACGCGCACTCAATCACTTGAGAAAGCTACCGTCATTCCAAGTCCCAAGCGAAGAACATACAGAGGTCCGTCGCTTGAGCATGTGTCAGCGGCTGCAATGGATTTTGAAGCAGCCTACATCGTTGATTCAGTGGGGAAACGCCGACTACATTCAAGTCGGCGATGGAATCAAGCGACTCCGGCAAGTGGAAAGAAGCGTGTGACTCGGAGTTCGATTCGCTTCAGAGAAACGACACGTGGGAAATCGTGCCTCTTCCGAAAGGTCGCAAGGCCATCGGGTGCCGATGGGTTTTTCGTGTAAAGGAGAATCAAGATGGCGAAGTTGAACGTTTCAAGGCAAGACTTGTGGCCAAAGGATTCTCACAGAAATTCGGAGTTGACTATGAAGAAACTTTCGCACCGGTGGCCAAGTTCACATCGATTCGTGTGGTGCTCAGTATGGCGGCTAAGTACGGCCTAATGCTACATCAGATGGACGTCAAGACAGCGTTTCTTAACGGCTCCCTCAACGAAGACATCTACATGGACCAGCCGGACGGATACCTGGATGCAACACAGCCGGACTATGTGTGCAAGCTAAAGAGATCACTCTACGGCTTGAAGCAATCGCCTCGCATGTGGAACCAAACAATCGATGGGTTCATGATCAAGATGGGATTCAAGAAGTGCGAATCGGACCACTGCATCTACATCAAGCGAGACGACCAAGACATGATTCTCGTGGTGCTCTACGTCGATGATCTCATCCTGGCCAGCAGCAACAACGAACTCCTCAAGTCAACCAAGATGGCGCTGAGCAAACGCTTCGAAATGACGGATCTCGGTGAGCTCGATTACTTTCTCGGCATGGAGATCAAGAACGACCGTAAGACGGGAATGGTGACTGTACAACAAACCAAGTTCCTTAAGTCCGTGTTAACCAAGTTCGGAATGGATAACAGCAAGCCAGTGAAGACGCCTCAAGATCCCGGCCTGAAGCTAACCAAGAACATGTGTGAACAAGAATGCAAGCACGAAGACACCATGTGCAACGTGCCATATCGAAGTGCTGTCGGAGGCATCATGTATCTCATGGTCGCCACACGTCCGGATCTAGCTGCTGCAGTGGGATCATTATCCCAGTTCTCGTCCGACCCATGCCCGACTCACTGGCAAGCTTTGAAGCGTGTGCTGAGATACCTGCAAGCAACGCCCAATCATGGTCTTGAGTTTACACGTGAAGAAGGAAGCCGTATCTGCGGGTACACCGACGCAGACTGGGCCGGCGACATTGAGTCAAGACGAAGTACAAGCGGCTATGTGTTCATGATGAGCGGAGGATGCATCAGCTGGAAAAGCCAGAAACAACGGACGGTCGCGCTATCTTCAACAGAAGCAGAATACATGGCGCTTTCCGAAGCAACCAAAGAAGCAGTATGGCTCAAAGTGCTTTTGGGGGAACTTGGTGAGATGACAAGCGACGAAGCGATCAAGATGTATGAAGACAACCAAGGATCAATCGCTCTCGCCAAGAACCCGGAGTTCCATAAGAGAACAAAACACATCGACATACGCTACCATTTTGTGCGTGAGAAGGTGGAATCAGGTGAAGTCGTTTTGGAGTATTGCCCGACTCAAGATATGCTGGCAGACATGATGACCAAGCCGATCGCCGCTGTACAATTTGAAAACATTCGCGATCGACTTGGGATCCATGGTGCCGCAGCTAACGAGTCGAGAGGGAGTGTTGAAAAGACAGCGGCTGTGAAGAAGACACCTCGTCAAGCTGCGTCAAGTGTTGAAGCAAGTGGAAGACCAAGCTTCGCTATACCGGTGGGTACCGGTATGTACCAGTAAGGGCGAAGTCAGGAAATGACGTCACTGGATGACGTCATTGCATGACGTCAGTGGGTGACGTCAGTGGGTGACGTCACTGGATGACGTCACTGCGAATAATAGGCTTAGAGGTAGTATTCAAAGTTGCGAACTAAGTACCTATTATAAATATATATTCACTTTGCGTTTTGCACTCGGACCAAGAAGTCTAAAGTTCATCACGCCTTGATCTCACCGCTGACGACCTCCCATAGGTCCCGTTCCTCCAGCACCATCTGCATCTTGAACTTCCAGGCGTGGAAGTTAGTTCCATCGAACTTGGAGATGCGGAGGGAGGAGGCGTCCATGGCAGCTAAGCTTGAATTGTTGGCGGTTTCAGAGTCTGACGAATTTGGGCTCATAACCTGATGAACTTTAGACTTCTTGGTCCGAGTGCAAAACGCAAAGTGAATATATATTTATAATAGGTACTTAGTTCGCAACTTTGAATACTACCTCTAAGCCTATTATTCGCAGTGACGTCATCCAGTGACGTCACCCACTGACGTCACCCACTGACGTCATGCAATGACGTCATCCAGTGACGTCATTTCCTGACTTCGCCCTTACTGGTACATAC